TTTGCAATATTCATTCCAACTATATTTATTTGTAAAAATTGATTTCCCCATTGACAATTGAAACAGTAACGAACAATGAAAGTTCATGTTTAAAGGACCAGTTCCAATGTTGTGAAACGAGATCGGAAATGTTGATAGTTGAACTCGATCTGAGCCAAGTCTCTCCCTTGCGGTACGTGACAAATTGAGATAAATAATCGTTTTGTGGGGACACAATACGCTCTTGAAATTCGTCATGGTGATACTCGAAACGGCACGCTCCGGAACATTTGCGAATTGATACTCGTAAAACCGACACTTGAGTCGCATCTGGTTCGCATCCTCCTCTCAGAAACGATACACCGAGATTTCATCGGAGCATAATTTAATTTATACACTCCTCACCTTCTATTTTCAATGTCATTTAACATCTAGATTTACTGGCTGTCCGGTGATTAATTCTTGAACTTAGTTTCTTTCCATCAATAATTCTATCGATTCGTCTAACTCTTTCGTTAATGTTTCCCCAGTTTTTCTTAGTTGAAAGCAGCAATCTAGGTTCAACGATTAATCTGGAACTGCTGCTACGCTGTCCTCTGCTCTCCAGAATGAAGAGGGAAGAAATGCCGGGGGATCGCGGATATCCGAGCAAACATTTAATTCGCGATTACATTATTTCCAAGGGGGTCCCCCCTGTCAGCGCCAGTTTGACCAAAGCACGCATACAACCACCATCGGACAAACGGGGTACCATACCAACCCCTCGATAATAGAGATTTCACGCCGCAGGCCCCTACTTTGGTTCTCACAGTAGGGGTCTCGCACTTTGCCGGATATCAATTGGCCAGTCGTTTCTTATTCCAGTCGTGCAGTGAACGTGGTCAATTGATTCCCCGACGGAGTTGCAGAGCGGGACGCGTGCCTCTAAGTATCTGTTTATAGTCTCTGGGGATCAATTTGTTTGCTAAATTATTTATTGGTCAAATATGCCCTGGTCTGGTGGAAACGGCGCCGTCCGAGCCACCAGTCGGTTTCAACTGTGGTTTGGGAAAGGTAAACTTGAGAATTTTCGCTGTTGTTCCAAACTCTTTTTGTTCAATTGGATCCTTTCTTTTTTTTTTTTTTTTTTTTCTTTTAGAGTTTCAGCAGCCGCAGTGATGCGCAGAGGTTTGATCGTTTCAGGTCACTGTGAACGCATTTGGAATGACACAGTGATTTGCCTGTTCTTGGCTACGAAGGACTCAGAAATCAAATTTTAACATTGTTAATCGTTTGAACAGTGTATTTGTGATTGTGCATTTAAATGTAATTTTTAAAAAACGAGGAATTTAGAATTCAGAAGATGTACCTGAAGAGTTCAAGGCAAAACACTTTCTTGTGGAAATTTGAACCCCTTTTTAATAAGAAAATCTGTTCAGATTTAAGGGAAAGTGTTTGATGGAGGATTTCATGTCCGACGGATGCTGTACCAGCTTCAATTATTCTGTAGATGAAGTTAGATTTGTAGTAACATTACCTCTCTCATTAATATGAATTTTTATTAGTATAAAATAAAAGAAGAATATTGTAGTTACATGACGTTCTACTTTCTAGTTTAATCATTTCCTGCATTTTCCACATCTTCTTTTCCATCTTTCTCTATACAGTTCTCTTGGCAATCATTATTCAAAATCAGCTGCATTCAAACTAAAAACGTACGATGATTAAAAATAGGAAATTGTTAAATATATTCTTCAAAAATATCAATAGGCAGCTATAGAGATCATAGAAAAATAACGAAACAATTAAAAATTAATTCATATTTGATCTTTAATACTCCAAACCATTAAGATACAAAATAATTAAAATATTATATTTGACTCTGACTTTTGTAAAAAAAAAAAAAAGAGCTATCACTAAACACTTGCAAACTGATATTTTATATTTACAAAATAGCTAAGAAAATCATATTTAACCTTGACTTGTTAAAAAAAGAATAGATCATAGTCCATGGTATGACTGGACTTGGTTGTCTCTCCTTTTTTTTTCTCTTTTTTTTTTTTTTTT